TTTTATGCCTGTTTCCTCGCTGCTCGTTTTCTGTCGCAATATCCAGTCTACTGCAATCAGGAAAATCATTGGAGATAGTAGGCAGCCAGCCAGTCAACCTTGTCTTATTCCCGTCTTCACTTCGAAGGATTCTATCAGTTTTTCGTCCTGGATTACTTGGCATGCAGCATTATCGTACAACTGCTGGATGAGATGTATAATTGTTGGCGGCAACCCATGTAGCGTAGTAGTCACCGAAGCTCCTCTCGACCGACGGTGAACATTGTATATATATATATATATATATATATATATATATATATATATATATATATATACAGACAGAGATCTGTAGGTATGTGAATTATGTAGGTTCGTAACCTATCGCAAAGTTGATTTACTCACGCACGAACTAACACTGTTCAAATAGCCATTGAAAACCAGTGACCACAAGAAACAGACAGTCATCTCTATACTGTATATATTCAACATTCCATTGGGGGATAGAGGAGCTTTAGGCTCTATGAGGTGACTTCATCGACCAGGCAGTCATTGGGCCATCAATTCTACTTTCTACCAATTCATGATTTATAGCACCACTATTATCCCAGTGAATATCATGGATGGGTATATTTGTCCTCATACATTCAACTTGGTGTGTGTGTGTGGGCGTGTATTGAGCTGGGGAGTTCTAACCTAGAACGACATAACCCTCCAGTACTTCTCGGGTAAAGTAAAAATCCAGTTGGTGGTGACAAAATTCGAACCAGACGATTTCAATTCAATTAGCCCAGTGATAAACTAATCCAGATACGCCATCCAACTGTTAACATAGTTAATTGTTTCATTGCAATCATCAAGGGTAACGTCCAACTTTATTTAGAATTGATGAATATCGCTCACATATACAATAATTCAGTGTTCATAGGTTATGGGGATACAAGGTATTATAATTACAGTGGAGATATGACTTAGTTCCTTAAGCATTCTAGTGAGAAGCCGTGATCAGTAGGCTTCAGCAGGCTGAAGATGAGGCAGTAACTCATCGAAGAAAACATTGAGAAATGGTGGCGCTATGTCATGAATTGGCAGAAGTTAATATACATGGACTGGCTGGACATTGGATCGGGTCCCAGTGGCTCGATGGTCTACGAGCTCGCAGGACGTACGTAGAGAGGACCCATCGGTCTCTGCAGGTTACGACTACAGGAAACATTCCAAAGTGGCTGCAGCAACAAATAAAATCGCCAGACACAAGTGATCCCGGAAATAGATGTCCAACATCATCTACAGCTGAGCACATTATAGAGACGGGTGATAAGATTGATTTCAACAAAGCTTTTAAGCCCATATATAAAACAAGGTTGGGTCACATACTTAAATTCTTTGAAGCTTTAGTCATAAAAAGACTTAAACCTGTTTTATGTGTCCAAAAGTTATTTGTTATCACTTTAAATCAGACTTGGTAATCCAATTTAGAACCAAGGACCAATTTACTTCGTAAGATTTTCAACCCCTTCTTTGCTTTGTTTTTTCTCTTTTTATCTGTCTTATCAATATCTTTGCGTCTCCCTACTCATTATTCATGACCTTGATCCGTACACAATCTAACCTGTATTGTGATTATTCATGCCATCTATAAAAACTGTGTATGACATGTACGTGCGTGATCGGAATGTCAGAAATGCGTTGCGCAAATATGCACATTACACGTTTCAGATAAACTACATCTTATTGTGTTGTCGAGAGACTATGGGTAATTGTCAGACCAGATGAAGAGGAGTGTAGAGAACAGATGTTGTTGAAGCCTTCGAGGTTCTACTCGGACAATAATAATAATAATAATAGTAACAATATAGATCGCAGTATTCGATGAAATACAGCTTCCAATGAATATCAATAAACCCTAGAAATGTGGTACACATACGATCTTATCATATGTCCACTGTTTACATATCATATATTGAATGGCTCACTTAACATGATAGAAATTTTAGTTAGAAATGATTCATGTAGCATCTAAAGTGAGATCACGCACAAGAGGAAATGAATATTTCAATATGAACTGAGCAACAGTTACTTTGACAGACTTCTGAAGATGATTCATTCATTGCATAACTAATAATATCGATATTATAAGTCAAAAGGAGTGGATGCATCCGTGCCAGCCATTGACAACGAGGATTTTGAACAATATCACCAACTGTCTCCAACTTCCATTTGGTTTTACAATCGTGAGGACCCCAACCAGCCAATCTACACCTTCCTACGTGGCTGGCTGGCTTATACTAATTGTTGTGGATTCCACTGACTAGCGAGGCCATGTTTTAGTTTGACCACCACTAACAGCTCTTTTCGAACTTGACTCTACGTCAGTTAACATTGTCCGTCGAAGAAGGCGACGGACATCTTGGGATGAGTAGCACATATCCTAGCCACCTACGTCGATGTAGCTTCACAGCCTCGTCGACTGAACTCGACGCCTAACCTCAATATTGCTCACCATATTACACCGACCACTTCACACAGGAGATAGAATGCAGACATCTATGATGAGAGACAGACAGGCGACCAGGATTTTCATGTCTTCCATTCTCAATGGCCAGGTCTCACAGCCAAATTCAAAAGTAACATCTATTGTTTGAATACCGTATTACGGTAAAAAAAAAAATTCGAATCTGGTATGTGGTGAAATTTTCTCAACCAAGAAAATAAAGCGATTTTTCGAAATATGGTGACATCGAAACAGTAGGTGGGGTGCAGCAAACATACATGTTATTGTCGCCCTTGTTGTATAGCGTTAACTGTGATAAAAAAGAAAGCATCTATGAGGAAGAGTACTATCCGAAAAGATGGAAAAGAAGCCAAAGAGTAGTGGGGAAAGCAAATCTTCACAAACTCAATTTTACTGATGATAACATCAACAGCATACACCAGTGAATGAGTTTCAACATGCGAATTTACAGATAAGTGCAGAACACCAAACTGTCACTCTTCATGAAGCCCACAAATATAAATTTAAAAAAATTATATTCTGAAGAACTATGTGAAGAATAACACCATGGAAGAACAAGGGTTTAATGTATCCGAGAGATCACAAAAACTGTGACTGCACCTGAGAACTATTTTGAATCATTATTACGAAGAGCCTTAAGTCATCGCTTCTTAGAATCATGGACCACACAGTCTATACCTACCTGCATAACTGGCTCAAAAAAACTGTCGAAGACTTTATTGATTGATATCAGGCTATGGTTTGATCAACGACAACTCTTTTTCAATCTAATCGTATGCCAGTTACCACTGGTGGTTAACGAAGGAAGAATGGACAACACGACAGCACTAGCCACCTTAATCGGTGCGTAGCTCGCCTTGCCACCAACTATTAATCGACTGACACTCAACGCCTAGCCTCGATATTACTCACAATATAATACCACTCAACACGGGAAATGCAGTACAAACATCTTTGCGCAAAGGAAAATAACCTTTCTTCAAGTCTTCCAGCCATAAAAGACACAAAGTAGTGAACTGCTGCACATAGGGTAAGGTTGGAAGGGCTGTTAATAGTGGTTAAAAACTAAACATGGCCCCATCCATCAGTCAATGAAATTCACAACAGTTAGTTTAAGACAGACACATAGGAAGGTTTAGACTGGCTGGTTGGGGTCCTCAGGATGGTAAAACCCAATGGAAGCTGGAGACAATTGGTGATATGGCTCAAAATCCTCGTTGTCAATGGCTGGCGCAGATGCTGTCTGGATTGTTGCGTGACCGCAGATCCCAGGGGACAACTGCTAGAGGCACAGATGCATCCACTCCTTGTTACCTATATCTTACCCAATAAATAAAACTATATTGTTCTTCAATATTACTTTTCCTTTCTCTTCATATTTCTGTTTACTATCTCTGTTTTGCATTTCTTTTTACTTTCTTCTCTTGCTTTGTGTGCTACAAGGAGGAAGTGTGGCGACTCGAACTGGTGCGCATCTGTGCAAAGTAGTTCTATGTTGAAACCAGTCATCAGTCACTTGGCAAACAAGCCTTTTCTATCTGTGCAGAGATGCTGTCAACAATCAGTCCTTATTGAGGTTGATACAATAGGCACTTCTATGTAACTAACATTTTCAACTAGATGGGGAATGAAACTATAAAGACGAGATTACAAGTACCAATCACACATCCAGACAGCAATAATACTATCCTGTCTCTTATATATACATATACACACACATAATGACAACGCGTAAATCCTCGACAGAAGCTCTCTAAGAGAAGATAGAAATAACAAAATTTATTGAATAACAAACATTTATTTTATACAAGAAATGTTCAATGTGAGATCGGAGACAAACTGAAAAGAATAATTGTCGCTTTAAAAACAAAAAAGGGAAAGAAACAGACTCATTTATAATATAACGCGTAATATGCAAACATATATATGCCTTTAAAAATGTCAGGAAGTAAATGTGTGGGGGGTGGTCGGGTTGGCGGGTCGACGATGATGGGCAAGGAAGTGAGAGACAGACGGAAGGACACAATTTTTAAAAAACTGTGAAAATGTGTAACAAAGATGGCGATTCGATTATCTCATATTATTGTTAATGTCTATTTATTTATTCTTTTAGTGATTGTGTATATAAATATCGAAAAATCAACACCCACCGACACACTGTCACATTGACTATGGCATTTCGTATGTAATTATAATAAGAAAGAATTGATTGATGATTGTAAGTATCAAATCGACACATATAAGAAGAACAGTTATATAACCAAGGCACAGATTATCTTAGGGGATACAATAGTCGAGAAATAGTGAAAAAAGCATGATTGATGAAAACCCGAGTGATGATGAGGAAGAGGAGGCATAGTAGACAGAACAAACAGCGCACGCATATGCACACAGACAGACACAAGCGAAAAAAATAGTTGTTCTTTCATCACTACTACTCTTGATACTACTACTACTATTATGCAGTCACTTCAACTGCTATCAACCAAGCATCACTCACTCCGTCTCACACATTTTCATATTCTCTTATCTGTTGACCTAAGCAACAGGCAATGATAATACTCAACAACTGGAAGAAGCATACACCGAATGCAACACAAGCGACAATGATTAGATTTCGTTTCAAAAATGCTCCAAAGACTTCCACACAACCCTAAAAAGAAGAAAAAGATAGAACAATAAATATTTATTAAGTAGTGTAGCACAAATATCTTTTGTGTGAAGTTAAAAGACACCACAGGACACTTTTATTTTCACCCTAGACATCATAAAATCACCTTTGGTTTCCTTTGTTTTTAAACAAAACTCACAAATGCTAACCGATTTCACAGCTTTGAGAGATAGCTTAATCTCACTCCGGTTGCCCTGATTCAGACTATATCGTACTTCGGCGATTGCTACTTGTTTGACTTTATAGTAATTGCAACTTGGACGATTATTATTATTCCAATGGGTCCCGAGTGGAATACACAGTTTCAACAGTACACCCACATTTCGTTCTATTCCCTGCAATCTTTTTTAGCTGGTCACACAACTGTCTGTTAGCTATCTCTTTCTTCCTCTCATATTTTCACAGGATCTCTCCCACATCACCCACGAATGCGCGCCTGACTCATCATTTATTATGTGGATGCCACTCGACAGCTAGCCTGGCATGTGCCCGGACCATCTTCACTTTTTTGTATTTGTTGAGCGACAGATTCCCGGTTGGTTTGGTGTCAGTGTTTTCTGGTAGGCTATATGATCGTCAGTATCAGCGCGGAAAAGGAGGCTGTTAGAAATAGTTTAAGTGATGCACGAACTCTTTGGACCACATATAAGAAGTAACTCCGATTGCTACACAATAGTTCAAAGTCTGGTCATGAGAGAACGGTCTGTCTCCGTGGTGGTTGTGAATGCTTAAAGTTATTAACACCACAGGACTTAACAAACCCGAATGACTTTCTTCCTTTACTCAATAGTACTCCCACTAGTATGATAGGTTTCAACATAGAATTTTGCACAGATATGCACCAGTCCAAGTCGTCACACTCCGTCATTGTAGCACACAAAGCAAGAGAGGAGAGTAAATAAAGATTCAAAAGAGAGATAATAAACAGATATGAGACAAAAAGAATGGTAATATGAGAGAACAAGAGAATCTTATTGTATGTTACAAACAAACGATAAAGAGTGAATACATCTGCGCCAACCATTGACAACGAAGATTTTGAGCCATATCACAAACTGTCTCCAGCCTCAACTGGTTTTTGCCGTCCCGAGGACCCCAACCAGTCAATCTAGCACTTTACACTTTCCTACGTGGCTGGCTTTCTTAAACTGTGGTAGATTCCACCGACTGATAAGGCCATGTTTTAGTTTGACCACCACTAACCATTCTTCTCCAGCCTGACCCAATGTCAGCTAGCATTCCCCGTCGTCAAGGAAGGCGATGACTACGCAGACATGCACTACACATATCCTAACCATATTAATCAATGTAAATTCACAGCCTCGTCTGTTGATTTCGCCTTCCTCCTTCTGGATTCAACACAGAACTTGGCACCGAAGTGCAGCAGTTTGAGTTGCCACGTTCCAAATAGCACACAAAGGTAGACAGGAAGATAAGTGAAGAGAATTAATAGTTTGACAGGTATAAGAGCGAAACAGAATGGGTAGTGGTAGAAAGAAATATGAAAGTTTACAGAGACTGAATGCATCTGAGCTGGCCATTGACAACGATTTTGAGCCATGTCACCTATTGTCTCCAGCCATTGATTGATTCGTAGAGTCCCGAGGGCCCCAACCCGGAAGTCTGCATCTCCCTACTCACTTGACTCAGCCTAACTGTCAAGGATTTCATGGATTGATGAGGCCACGTTTTTGTTCGGCCACCACTTACTCTTTTCCAACCTGCACCTATATCAAGCTAGTAATGCCCGTCGGGGAAGGCGATGGTTAGGGATGCGCAGCACGTGACCTAGCCATATCAATCTATGTAACTTTATATCCTCGTCGATTGATTTTCCCTCTTTGCCCAACACTACGCCTAACGTCAACATTACTTACTTTATTATACCACCTAACCCTTCCTCCTAACCTAGCACTCAACACTTAACTTCAATATTGCTCACCCTATTATACCCCTTCACACAGGAGATAGAACGCAAACACGAACGATAAGAGATAGCCAACTAGTCAGGCTTTTATATCTTTCACCATCTGATATTTGACGGGATGATGCTACACGACTGGACCACATTGACTCCTAGCCTAGATATAGGGAGTGAAGTCGTAGAACACACTGACCACTTGGTCTGTTTGGGAAGTTACACTAGTCAACGCCAGTGGGATGATCGCCGACGAAAACTCAGCTCGAATATAGACAGCTAGTTTCGCATATTCCAGCTTACACCGTCTCTGGCTTAGTAGACGTGATATCCAGCAGGCTATCGACCAAACGGCGTGTGTACAGCTCAGTGCAGCAGTTCGCTCCGTCCTCCCCTATGGCTGCGAAAACTGTTCATTGAGACTAGCTGTCGTTGGTCATAGGTGCCTGCGTTCTATCCCCCGTGTGAAGTGGTTTAATAGGGTAAGGTAATTCTCCATCTTTGAAATCTAGCTTATGATGATTATAAGCTGAACAGTTGCTAGACATCCTAGTTTATGCATATGAAAATATTAGGTGAAAGTAAATGGTATTCATTAAGATTCTTTCACAAGTGTTGGTTGTGTAGGATTTCGTTTGATTGCATGGGGGATTTCACCATGAGCTGACATCAGTTGGAGAACCACTGGACAGCCGTTTCGTCCTAGTTTGGGACTTTTTATCAGTACGCACCGACCACCAGGGTTCGAACCTAGGACCTTCTGGTTACAAGGTGAGCTCGTAGGCCATTGAGTCTCAAACGCACCTGGCTAAGTAATTGTACAATACTGAGAGTGTGCGAATAGTGAAAATAAGCCAAAAACCCATACATCTGAGAGAGATGTATCACATTTCTGCTGTAAAAAGGACGTCACAACAGTATAAAGAACAAGCTAAATTAGTGCACTTTTGCCAACCTTCTAGATAAACTGAGGTTTACGCAACCAGGTTCTCTTTTTAGCTACTAAACAATAATTACATTTTTTTCCATCTTTTACAGGGTTCAATTAGTGACAACTTGAGTTAGTTTGGCGTTAGTGTGCCAGTCAGTGCTGACAATCACCTAGTCAGAATTCAGCATCCTACGAGTTGATATATCACCGAGAAAAGCATAGGTTCTTTTAGTATACAAATATCATAAGCTCACTAGATGAAAACTGTAGTATGATGCAACTGACTTAATGACACAGTGAAATACCAAGCATGTTTAAAACACGTCTATCCACCTGTCAACTTAAAGATATCACATACATGATTACACAGAAAGACTAGTCAGTTGATGTTATGAATCTTTACTGGTTTACCTGTTACATTTTTCAAGACAGCACAGTGATGTCATTTGTAATAGGATAATTTCAATAACGCGTAAGCAAACCAAAAGTTTATAGGGATTTGAAACTCTCTTCCCACAGGCAGTATGTATGTCGCACATTAAGGTCCTCTGAATCCTAAGAATCAATGATGAAGGCATACTGACGGTTATGAGCACGCTAACATGCTGGTTTGTTTACTTGAAAGAGATTGGAGTAATGAAAGTCGTAACGACTTAGAGCGTGCATGGTAGGTATGTATCAAGTATGTCAAACCACCGCTTGCATTAATACACTTCACATAAACCAGCAAACTAGACACTACCTTGTTATCCACCATGCACACAAGTAGTACATCAGACATGTGTGAAATTTCATGACAATAAGCATAACATTGTGAGGTCGACATTAAACAAATTACAGGGATTGTTTAAAAGAACGAGAAGTGACAGACGACTACTGCAGAAACCTGGAAGCAGATAAGCTCAAGAAACAGCGAACATCAGTCAGTCGATGGAAAGCAGCCTTCTAAGTTATTATGGAGCAGACTGTTTTGTATTTGAAAGGCCAACAGAAATACCCCAGACAAACGACGCTAGAAAACTAGTTGACAGAAAGATGACACCTACAACTTTCATCAAATTAAAACCGCTGACTTAACTACGCGCCTAACTAACTTTCTTTTCTATTATCCACCAAGTCAGAATATCCCGAAAGAAAGATGATTTCAAAAGCCTGAGGAAAACTAAGTTACAGTGGAGTATTGGTCCTCCCACCAGGTCATAAAATCCTGATATGGAGTTATGCAAGTGGTGTACGGGCTTTTCGTAGACTCGTTCAAGGGACAAGTCATGAAGAGATACTGGGAAGGAATAATAAACAGGCTTGAAGTCTTCTGTCCTAGACATAAAATCGGAATCTTAACAATACAACGTGTAGGTCCCCATCGAAGTGGTTGTCTACGTAATGTTAAGACAGTTACTTGGTGTGAACCTAAGATTATCAATAGAGTTAACTACACAAAAAACTAAATGAAAATCAAGCAATGACAAACTAATTAAACCATTACTTACCTCAGTGTATGTTACATTTCCTTCACCTTTGCATGACTGAGGTATGCCTTTCTTGACATAATCTTCTGGGCCTTTAGCACCACAGCAGTGGAACTAGATATTTAACACAGTATAGTGAGGACTTACTGATGACTGCACTAAATCCATAAATTCACGTATTTCCTCAGTTTCTTGATCCAGAGCACCAGTCATCAGAGTACTGACTTCTGCATCAATCTAAACACTATAATCGCTAATAATATGGGACAAACCTTGTCCTTGTACACAACTGCAACGATGGCGGCAGCCAATTCTGCGATCAACAGCACAATCAAGAAAAAGGCGTACTGCACTCGTTAAATTTCCGTGAATATCAACATACCATATACAGCATGCACACATTCTCCTTAATAGCGCCACAGCAACCCAAGAAGCTTACAACAAGAATTATCACTCCAACAACAATTATAGCAATAGGTGCTGCTTGCCAAACTTTATGCAGATTAGATCCATATTGACTGAATTTAACTTCCACATATGCTCCTGCTCCAATCAATGCTAAGGAACACAACTAAGATACAATGATTGTGTAAGACACCTCCACTTACCAAACAAATGATATTCAATATGAATACACAGCTCTTCAGGCATTTCATTCCTGCACTTAGAGTCGCCATCTTGTCAGACCTGTACTTCAAATACAAAACCTAAGAATGCCTCCGTTATCACTAAGTTTCTCCAATGAAACAGTTAAACAAAATCAGTAGTTTATAATATTCACTTTGTACAATGACAAAGAGGAGTTATTTAACCTTCAGTTTCATTTTATTTTATACTCATATGAAGTACGAAAGTGGGCTGCTAAATTGGATGTAGATACTCATGGAGAATATTTTCAGGAATTGTTAGATTGAAGACACTCAGGTAGTAAGTCCTTGTGATCATCACGACCATTCAAGTAATCTCATTATTTCCGAAAGCACTGAATGCTTTCAAGTGATGCCCAGTGTAGCGGTAAATAATTCCCCAAAGTTATTGACCACAGCAATCATCACTCAACATTGGATGCTGACCACCACTGTTTAAGTCGACTTGTTTAGCTGAAGGCTTTCGGTCAAGCATCCCCGCCATTTGGTTCTCCGTCGTGTCACGTTCGTGCACGATCACCAGCCGGCTAAGCGTTCGTCTAACAACTCGTTTTGGTCCTGAAAAATATCGCGTAATTCGGACGATCAAATACTGTCTTCTGCCTTGCTTTTGGTATGCGAGAATTAATATGTTAGAAGTTGATGTATAAGAGATTGCGTTAATATACTTTTGTACTGTTCGCGAACGTCTATACCGTCAACCTCTAAACCAGTATCAAATTCACCAGCAAAATTCAGAAGTTTCACCAGACTAGTTAACTTCTACCACCTCTACATATCTACATGTATGCAAAGTAGGAAATCTGTAACTAGGGTATTCAGAAGAGACTTATATTACTTCTAATCTTCGATGGAGTTTCGCTATTTCAGAACGTGGTTAGCAAGCCCTGAAACTCTGAGACACCCTCACACAGGTGTACATGATTCTATAGGGTTAGATCTTTCACTGTTAACAGCGTGTATGGCTTATATCTAGCCAATTTAAAATAGCTCGGAACTAATGGCAACCTTCTCTGAATACCTTTTCCCCCATGAAACGCTACACGCAACTTCTGACTACAGGTCACTGCCTATACCTAATGGCACGTAAAGGAAGGTAAAATATGTTCCATTCACACAAACTAAGTGTCACTCTTTTATGCTCTCACTGACTAGGCTGGCAACTATCTACCGCTGAAATCTCGCTATTAAAGTTTAACTTCGTGGTCCACACGTGACACAGAAAACATTTAAAACGCGTAGCCAATCCACTATCCAGAATTAACCCAACAATTTTTTACAGAGTCTAACTGGCCTAACTGAAGATCAAAAGAGCAAATAAGACTAGATTAGGTGACAACCCAAACTTCCTTCCGTCTCTTGGTGTTAGTTATGGTAAACCAGTGAACAGTGTATATTTGGGTAAGTGCCATCCCACCACGTGAATAAGGGGTATTTCGGGGAGAGAAGAACGACTTGGGAAACTGAAAAACAGTATAATTATTGATAACACGTCACTGGAAGCATACAAACAAGGAGGCATGGAGTCCTTAGACTGATAGTATGCATTCGCAATGTTTAAAGCTAACCACATTGGTCTAGGAATGGAAACTATGACGTTTTCGATGAAAATGTAGCTTTGTTCAAACACTCACATTACGTTTTTTACAATCAGGACAACCACACTTCAGGGAAAGGAAGAACACGAATGGAAGGAGGAAGTTTTTGATTCATCAAAGGACTAGATAGTTATAATAGAGTATAATCGTACTTATATGAAAGAAATATCATGAAGCTTATAGGCGATATTCCGGTGAGAAGTTGCTCATAAGATCTAAAAGGGTAGAACCTGTAGGAAATGCCTGCCTGTTAGGTGCAGAGGGCGTGAAATAGCATCTTGACAAGGAGCTTAACAGACTTGTAGATTTTAGGAGCAATAGCATTTAGGAAATTAGATCTGTACAATAGTTACTCGGTTTATGTTAAGAATTCAGACTAATGTTCTTATCCTCGGACTGTAAAACCTGTTCATTTAAAAATGGTATATTTAAGAAAGGTAACAGAATAATATCGCTAAGGTAAAATTTTACAGGCAGAAGCAATGTGCAGAGTATAATAATCAGCGTCGAAACTGAAGAAATTTGAACAAAATTGCGCGTCATGCCTGAAAGTTGCTGTCAATCACGTCTCTTAAACCGTTAATGCCCAGCTCTCGCTACGCTCGGGCTCACGCTGTTCTTCGAAGATTTCAGAAACGCTTAGTTATAACGGACGAAAAAACCAAAACACCGATCTGCCGCTTGATATTTCTTTATTGTTACACCAACATATAAAAAGAATAAGTGAACTAAGGTCTGAAAACAAATATTACAATAATAAATCATTGTATTACTGGGCGTTGATAAAGCATATCCCCTGTTTGAAGTGGCGCCTTTGGCTTAACCTTGACGGCATTTGCGCGGTTTCGTTGATTCGAGTTGTGGCTAGTCGTCCAGCAAACGCAGTAGACGCTATTTCGGTGCTTATTTTGCTCTTGTTGGATGAATTTATATGAAAATTATTGTTCGATATTGTTCTTGAGCATTTGCTGATTGCTTGTGTGACAGGACGCTTAAATACATGGTTCATGCAGTGATTTTTGGCATACCGAGTAAGCTTCGCGTACATTTCAACGACTGTCATTCGATAAATTTCTTTGCAGATTGGCGGAAACTTGTACTCGATCTCAAATTTCCCTATCAGCTATTGTGCAGTACCTATTACTGCTGCAGGAACCAAAGAATATGGTTGATATCGAATTCCTGCATCCTCCCGCACTTCTGTGTGTTGTTTTGATAGAGGAAAGTCAATAGAATGCATAGATACAAGCGAAAATTAGTGTTCACAAATGGGCAGAAATTGCAATATGTTTTACGATCACTTATAACATTCACTGTTTTCTGCCGAAGTTTTTAAGTGAGTTAAATGCACACTGCAACATTTTAGTAATTTGGTGGATTTCAATACCATCCTCGTGATCAGGTACGTAAAGACATCTGACGTGTGCGTCACTTTTTCCTACTAGTGAGTTTGGTTTCATAAACTTCCGATTTTTGTCATTGTCCTGACGCCACATTCGCGCTTGTTCGAAGTTAATTCACCAAATTATTTTAAAACCACGTAGAAGTAGTGTCCGACATCTCTTAAAGCTATGGACGTAAGGTTTAGAAGTGGTTGCTATATCCATTTAGGGAAGGCTCATCGATTTTTGCAAGTAAGGGCTACGCATCATATTCCTAAATGCCTCCAGAAGCAACAGAATCTTCAGAAGTTATTAATGGGGTCCCAGCTCCTCTATTTCGAAACATATTATAGGGACAGGTCATAAAACTGGCGTTTGCACATTCTTTAAACCTATCTGTAAAACGTGTTTGGATTGCATTCTAAAGTTTGTGGGAACCGAAGTGTGATTAGGAAGTTTAAACCACTTTTGTGAATTCCAAGACTATTCGTCATCACACGAAACCTTTGTTAAACTTTGTTTTGAAACTAGTCAGGGTAGATGTACTAGTCCCTCAGATATTTGGTTTAGTAATCTTCATTGTTATTTTGACCTTCAATATGTGGTTTTAATTCCACCTAAATTTATTTTCCAAACTTTTAACTGTATTAATTTCATATGTATTCCTATAACAAGTCCATGCGTGACCAGATTGTCTAAAATGTGTTGCACAAATACAACACTACACGACTCGGACAAATTACGTCTTCTCATTACTTCGTCTAAATATCCACTTGTGTCAAAAATAGTGACTGATGTAATCGCACATTGATATAAACTTTCATTAATTTTTACTGTGCTGTCTCGTTAATATTATATTGGTAGTTATATTCATGTATGCACCCTGTGAACCCTTGTTTTCTTTTTTAGATAATCTGTAGTTCCAGTGACCTCGTGGGATTCATTGCTGAAGGAAGTGGTTTCCAGTACCGTTGATTTTGTATTTTGTGTCGAATCACTAATAAATGTATTCTCTATACCTCAAATAGACATTCTACTTGTTAATAGTCACTACTAACTTCATAGAATGTTGTGAGCTACAGAGTTATGGGGTTAGGGTCATGTGTTGTATTGAGTAGCGCGTTTAGAAAATACGTCCGCCCCTGAGGAATATTGTCGTCAATATGGAGTACATTCTCGTGATAAATCTGTTAGCAGTAATTATTATCAGTACCTATATTTCGTATGGATGGTACATAATGAAACGTACTAATTCAGTAGTCAAAGGTTAGAACTATCCGTTAAAATTGAAACAGGTGCTCATGTAAGGGAAAACTGATTAATCGGAATTTGAAACATCACGTAAGTGATAAAGTTTATAGCATCGTTTACATGCGAATAGTTAAGGTTATTTTTTTAGAAATGATGTTTACTCGTTGATGGTTTAAGGGATGTTGTGTTTGATAGGAAATAGATGGGACATTGTAACTGAAAAACAGTGTAACTGGATAAGCAACATCAGCTGGCCAGTATACACTTATTTTGAAGTAAAACACGATCGGGTAAAGTATTTCAAAGACAGGAGTAGAGCAGTCTTCTGAAACTATTAATTTATTGGGCAATTAAATTTGTCTTTGAATTAAGACTGAAAGTAAGCGGCATATTGGTAGGCTAAACGATAATCATTATTCGATTTCGTTAGAATAAGTATCCGAGTACTGTTTCACTCATCATTCTGTCTTTTGAATAACTTAGTAACATGGCGTTTACTTTCGGATCCAAATTACTAAGTAAAGGTTAATATCCCTAAGATTAAATTGTCGCCAAAGTAAGTAAATCTGTTCATATCTAGAAAATACTAAGGTTTGGAGTTATTTTTTTGCTACCACAACACCAGGTGACTCACCAATTAGTCACATCGTAAAACTAGATCTGTCAAAGACAGTCTACTTCTGAGTTCTAGTTTTATCATGAAGGATGAACCATACCCATAGGTTAATAGGATCAGACGGATGATGTCAATTCGAAACTAGGTATCTACGTTTCGCAGCTACAGAAAACACCACGTTACAATCTATTCCTTTAATCGTGTCAATCAATGTGACATCAATTGAGACTAGAGAAGGAACACCACTGGTTTTCACAAAATTTATTTGTGTTCGTTAATATAATGTACATTCCGTAATTATAGGCAAACTAGGAAACGCACCAAGTCATCACATATACGAACAATAATTAAGCGCACAGGGTAGAGTAGATTTAAAGGAATGCCTACTCGATATGGCCCAGAGTTCATGTGGAGTAACACATGCCTACATCTGAAAGTGCGTGTGTAAGGTATCGCATTTCATCAGCCTTTCGTGTAAGTGACTCAATGGGTCGCCTCCATATTTAACAAATGCTCAGTCCATGAATTCTACTTGTACCTGTAAAACACAAACAATACCCTGCTGGGATATGGTGCTGTGTTACACCAGAGTCCCTCAGTTTACAGATAAATCACACCTAATATCAGTATTACCGCTTTTAGTTGAAAAAGTCATTCGACTGTGTCACAAATGCTTTTGGCTGGATTCCTCAGTGCCAAGTATTATTCCTTATGAGAGTGCATTGAAGAAACCCTGTAGGGTGATATTGAAGCTTCGCCGAAAATTGAATAGAAGCATTCCACTCATACAAGATGGATGCAGTAAAGAATACATTATTAACTCATTGCGCTCACTCCTACATTACCCTATAAAATTCTCTAGTTTTGAAATGAAACATGCACATATATATTGTGTCGTTTACTTCAGATACACACTAATATCTAAATTTCATACGCCTTCTGTCTCAATACTCCATGTAATAACAGTTTGATAGCTATTTACGAATGCAGTAATAAGTATTTCATGGGCCACGAGTAGCACTTGGTATTCAGCAGAGGTATGGGCACTTAGTGATTGTAATTTAGAGAACTGATACGACAAGGTTAGCTTTTTTCTAATATATACGCAACTATCAACACAATGAAAAGATAATGACGAATTGTTATCACAAGCATTCTATTTACTATGGAGGGAATGTTATTACAAACTAGCTTCACAGTAACATGTACAAGTCTTGCATGTCATTGCATCAGTAATATTAGCACACTAATTGTATTACGGCCAAATGTAAATGATTTAAAGGCATCGTAACAATAACTTTGCGGGAGGTAGATGTATTGAAAGACTGCTTGCAGACACTATGCATGACGACATCTGGTAGAATGTCTACGGAGACTGACAACCTGCAATGAGGAAGACAAAAATGAAACAATTAGGAGACACATAACGCACAAGATAAGTATTTTTGATATAAGCATAAAACTTGGGCACTGTGGTAGAGTATAACTCCATTATGGATACGATTTTATTTTGGTAAATCACACAGTGTTGGAGAGCAATATTACTTGGTGGCGTTTTGAGCACAAACTATTGCTCATCATCATATCAAGTCAGTCACACAACTTTTTGCCTCATTCATATACATGAGTATTTTACTTAAGCGTACTACAGGGATAAAAGGTCACTCGTCTCATTCACTTCTATTCACACCATTTCTTACGTCCATGTTACTGACTTTTGGTTTATGTTTTCCTCTTCGGTGCACTTTATCTGGACAGTTTAAGGAATCGGGAAATGCATAGAGTACTTAGGAAACGGCATGAATAATTGTTTAAGCTAATTAACACTAGGTAGTTGTGACACTACGCATTTGTAGTGACAAAGCTGACTGACTGAGTTTTAACATGGAACTCAGCACAGAAGTGTAGCAGTTCGATTTGTGACGTTCCACACTTGAAAAATATTATATTTGGTTGGTAATAAGCATAACATATTTCATCAGATGTGTTTCAACTTCGCAGTTGGGCTACGTGATAAAATTAACTAACTAATGAGATATAACGAGACAGAGTGTGAGAGTTATCTCGGGTAAGAGGAGAAATTATTGTAAGATCACTTTTTCAGTTAGACAAGAACTAAATGAAAAATACGATTACCATTTGTTGACATTTTGCCTATTTTTATCCCCGTTTTAACATTTCACTATACCTGGACTATAGATCATTCTGACAGACTGATTTTCAACATAGAAGCGTGCACACAAGTGCACCCGCTTAAGTTACCACGTTCCATGTAGCACACAAAGGTAGAGGAAAAAATAAATTAAATGGAACTCTAATGAACAGAAATGTGATGAAAACCGAACAGTCATATGGGAAAAATATAAGGGTTGCTCAGATATGTGCGATTACACAGAGTGAATGCATCTGTGTCATTAACAACGTTTGAAATCACATTTCTACTTAACACTAAGCTTAACCCCAATATTACTCACCATATTAGACTACTTAACACAGAAGAAAGGGTACAGACACTACGATCAAAAACCAGTAGTCTTTTCATATCTTCCAGTTTCAATGGTCACTTCTCGCAGCCTAAGTGGACAATACCATCAGCATACACAAAGTTGACAAGACTGTTCCCTGGTAAGGGCCTAAAGTGAGTAACAGACAATTCGGTTAATACATTTATGATGAAAGTGAACTAAAATAAGGACGACAGTTGTAGAAATGAGCCTTGTACTACATCCTTCTTTGAAATATCAGTTCCTTCATAGTTTAGTTTCAGTAATAAGTGAATGGAATGTAGTCTACAGATTCATGAAATTCGCATACTGACGTACTACTTTCCTAGAATCCTAGTTGATGTCTCCTCAGGAAAGTGGGAAATGAGCATTGCACTTGCGTAAACTCAATAGGCTGTGAACTGCTGGCAATGAAAACGACAACAATTTTTGGTATTACTTAATTCCAAAAACGATCACATAATCTTTTATTCCGACTTCTGGTTCCATCAGATGAAATTAAAGGGAAGAGCTGAGAATAGAAGGGGTGTTGAGGGTTAGACAGTATAGATTTAGACCATTTCTCGCATGAGTTTAGATGTCTTTTAACTAATGCATTAACGAGTTGACGAAATGGTACACCACTTGCCCTAATGACAACCTTAATACCCTACACAATACGACATAGTCGTTTTTGAGTAATTCAGGAAAGAATAAGGGGGAGCAGTAAAGACCAATGCAAGAGTTAACAAGTTGTAAAAAGAGAGGTTGAATGATTCTTGACTGTCTTGACTACATAACATGGTAACCTAGACTGAAGGTTTTCTTAGAAATCGACAAGATATAGAATGACCAAGAAAGACCAGAGGATAGATTTACTCCAAGGTATTTTATGTTAGACTTAGTTTCTGTTTCAGTGTCCTCTTTGATATGTAGTGCACATTGTACCTTTGAACTTTTGTTTAAACTGACTCACCCACGGTGATCCACGTTTTACCTTTTGACTTGTGAGTCTTCCTTACGTTCATAGGTTCGCTCTCTTGTTGTGCTCTCCTTCTGCACACTCTCCGAGCCTACCTCCAGCAACGTCTGCAGATAAGTTGTACGACTTCTTTATTTATTGAATTTTATATTTCGTCGAATAAAATATAATTCTCCCAGGTACTCTTGTCACATCAAGTCTTTTTCAGATTTGTTCAAACCTAGCAGCGGCCTGCCATGTGCGACTTCCAACGTCAAACACCATATTGTCACTACTGGCCCGCCAGTTTTCGCAAAGCCGAGGCGACTATCCCCAGAAAAACTAAAGGTTGTCAAAGCGGAGTTTGAGCATATGCTGGAAATGGGGATTATTAGGCCATCCAGCAGCCCGTGGTCCTCACCGTTGCACCTGGTACCTAAGAATAACGGTTTAGATTGGCGTCCTTGTGGCGACTACCGCAGACTAAACGCACAAACTGTTCCCGATCGCTACCCTGTCCCGCACATACACGATTTAACCGCCTCACTCAAGGGAGCTCGAGTATTCAGCAAACTGGACCTTACACGGGCTTACTACCAGATTCCCGTCGACCCCGAAGATATACCTAAGACTGCTGTGATTACACCGTTTGGCCTGTTCGAGTTTCTTCGAATGCCTTTTGGCTTACGGAACGCTGCACAAACCTTCCAGCGTTTTATACATGACGTTTTGCGCGGGCTTGATTTCGCCTTCGCCTATCTGGACGATATCTTGGTAGCTAGTCCAGATGAAGCCACTCATCAACTTCATTTGCAGACAGTTTTCCAAAGACTTGTGACACACTCCCTCACACTCAACTTGCCGAAGTGTCAGATTGGAGCCACTTCCCTGAAATTTTTGGGACATAGGATAGACAAAGATGGAATTTATCCGTTACCTGACCGGGTAGAAGCTATTCAAAACTTCCCTCTACCCACTTCTCCCAAGGCACTACGCACCTTTCTCGGGATGGTTAGTTACTACCGTCGCTTTATCCCACAGTGTGCTCATATCGTGACCCCCTTGACTGACATGCTTAAAGGGAAATGCAAGTCTTTGGTGTTCACTAAGGAAGCCTCGACAGCTTTTGCAGCTATCAAGAAAGCTATTGCTGACGCCACAATGTTGGTCCATCTAGATGTTCAACTTCCAATCAGCATCTCCGTAGATGCCTCTAATACTGCGATCGGAGCCGTCCTTCAACAGCGTATGGCTAATGTATGGCTACCGATTGCTTTCTTTTCACGTAAACTTACCGCATGCGAATCTCGATACAGCACATTCGGTAGGGAACTTCTCGCTGTCTACGCTGCTGTCAAGCATTTTCGTCACTTCGTGGAAGGCCGGCAATTTACGGTATTTACCGACCATAAGCCATTGACGTACGCCCTCCACACTACTTCAGACCGGTATTCACCGCGAGAATCACGCCATTTAGACTATATTTCCCAGTTCACTTCTGATATCCAGCACGTTTCTGGATCGGATAACGCGGTAGCAGACGCTTTGTCTCGCGTATGTGCTACGTCCGTACCACCAACCATCGATCTTCATAAAATGGCCGAACTCCAACTGAACGATTTGAACTTAGAACACCTGTCAAATAAAACCTCACTGAAAATAGAACGCGTCCCCTTGCTAAACAGTGAGGCAACTATACTTTGCGATATGTCAACTGGTACTCCTCGACCGATTGTTCCCACGTCTTTACGCCGAACTGTGTTTGAGTCACTCCACAACCTCTCCCATCCTGGCATACGAGCAACGGACAAGTTGATTTCTGCGAGATTTGCGTGGCCCGGTATGAACCGTGATGTGCGTCAATGGACACGTGCTTGTGTGCAATGCCAACGTGCTAAAGTCACCAAGCATAACATCACGCCGTTGGGGACGTTTGCGACCCCAGACGCTCGGTTCCATCATATCCACCTGGATATAGTAGGGCCTCTGCCCCCGTCTAACGGCTGCTCGTATTTACTCACATGTGTGGATCGTTTCACACGTTGGCCGGAAGCCATTCCGATACCTGATGTAACGGCTCAAACCGTCTGTCGTGCCTTCATGGATGGCTGGGTTGCCCATTTTGGATGTCCCGCAACTGTCACTACCGACCGCGGACAACAGTTTGAATCCACAAGCTTCAAAGAATTGTTAGAGATGCTGGGATGCAAACGCATTCGCACAACCGCGTATCATCCCGCGGCAAATGGCCTAGTAGAACGTTTCCACCGTCAACTCAAAGCTGCGTTGATGGCAGTGGACAACAGTAAGTGGACAGATTCGCTACCACTGGTCCTGCTTAGCATCCGGGCTACGCTTAAGGGGGATCTGCAGTGCTCGCCAGCTGAATTGGTGTACGGTACCACCATGCGTTTACCAGGCGAGCTAATCGCTCCCGAAACTTTCGAGCCAAATTTCCCGGATACCACCCGTTACGCTCAGCAACTTAAAAGTTTTATGCAGCGACTCCGACCAGTTTCCACACGCGCTCAGAACCGAAAGGTTCAGGTTGATCGGCGACTTGATGACTGTACACACGTTTTCGTGCGTCACGACGCCATACGAAAGCCATTACAACCACCGTATGACGGGCCTTTTAAGGTCCTTAGTCGTAAAGATAAATTTTTCGTTATTGACCGATGCGGCCGCCCAGACACTGTCAGCATAGACAGACTTAAAGCGGCATACACTGAAGAACCTTCACCCTCCCCATCGGCTCAATCAAATAGCCCCACTGAACCTAGTCCTTGTCCAGACTCAACTACTTCACCTCCGGTGGTGAATGATGATTCTCCTACCGTCACCAGTAAGACCCCTGTCACACGTGCTGGTCGACGTGTTCACTGGCCCAAGAGGTTCGTAGAATTCTTTCACTGAACTAATCCATAGGTAAGGCTACTAGTGATTTTTTATTCCTTGTCACAATTTCTTATTCAATTCTGCTATATTTAATCTATTTGGTCCCGCTTCTGGGAGTAGTCGTTTTAACCCTCACTAATCCTTTTAATCTTTATCTCTCGTTACAGAGGACCAGCAGCAGTTTGTTTTTACCCCTAATTTTTCATATCAATCTACTCGCTAGATCAGTTGGCGTCTCATGTCATCTTGTAACCCACACCAAAAGAGGAATTATGAATAGTATATTACCTTTCCAAAATAAAAATTTAATTATTATGTAAAAAAAAAATTTTATAAAATATATTTAAAAAAAAAAGTAAAAAAAAATGTAAAATAATAATAAATAAACAAAAAAAAATTATTTTTAAATAAAAAAAAGATTATAAAAAAAAAACAAAAAAAAAACTTCCACTGTATAGTTAAATGTACAGATATACATATTTTTTTTTGCGCATAAATGCTTCACTTCTATGCTGTACATAGTAATTCGCTCAATTTATTTTCACAGCCTGTACTATATTCCTTCGGGTTTATGCCCTCCCGCAATTCATTTATTTTGTGAACCGTACTTATAAACATTATGCATCATCTTAGTTATGCACTTAGCAACATGAACAAAGTAATTTTGGTAATGATAACTACTCATAGCTATGGGTTATGTACTAACTTCTCTGTAATTTTATAAGTTCTCACAGGGTAGAAACTTCCTTTGTTTTATCTCATTCTAACGTACTACTTCCAAGTTGCACCACTTTTCCTCGCATTGATTTCGCACAAGCTTTTGTAGTACCTTTACACCGATTTTGAAATCTTAACCTTTCTTTCCCATTTTCTTCTGTTTTTTTTTACCCTGCTCCTTATCATACGCTGGTATAATGATTGCCTTTAACATGACTGCTAGGTTCTGTTGAAGCGGAGGAAGGGAGCATTGGTCTAATATGAAAGTTAGACATAATGAATCACCTTCTTGCTACGACAGCCTCGGCGCCAGAGGTTTACCATCAAACCTCCACATAAGTAAGCTTGTAATAGTGCGGAATTAAAAAAAAAAGAATGAATCGATACAATAAAAAAATAAATAAAAAAAAGATTAATAAAAATATGAAAGACAAAAAAAAGGAAAAATAAAAAAAAACATCAGACCGCAGAAGCTTACAACCACACAAGGCACCAGCGCCATTTCTTATCATATTCCGTCTTACTTCACTAATCATGTACATACCACTTCCAACTTATCTTAATTTTTTTCTCTTTTCTTTTGCTTTCTTTCCTTTCGGTGAAATTTCTTTTTTTTACTATTGCTATTTTCAAACCTTCTCATTCACCCATTGCTACTGTGCCAAGCCATCCTACTGTTGTATATCGAAGCTTGCTGGTTTCCCACCAACCTTCTAGGGGGGGATAACCTGTAGTGCACATTGTACCTTTGAACTTTTGTTTAAACTGACTCACCCACGGTGATCCACGTTTTACCTTTTGACTTGTGAGTCTTCCTTACGTTCATAGGTTCGCTCTCTTGTTGTGCTCTCCTTCTGCACACTCTCCGAGCCTACCTCCAGCAACGTCTGCAGATAAGTTGTACGACTTCTTTATTTATTGAATTTTATATTTCGTCGAATAAAATATAATTCTCCCAGGTACTCTTGTCACATCAAGTCTTTTTACAACGATACAGTTCGTCAGTATTTGCGCGTCCAGTAGTGTACTGCTAAGCTTAGTAGGTCGCCAAAACGGTGAAGAAGTTTGTAAGGGTGTTTAGAGTATAGGTCCACTCTAAGCCGTAGTAGAACTCTTACAGATACAAGCATCTTGTGAACGACACAGTTTTCGCAGTTCACGCTTATGAGTGAGGGGAAAGTTAGCTGCCTGACATTTAGAGGGATTTAACGTAAGACCACGTACCTTAGACTACAGACAGGAAGCAGTTAAGTTTGCTGCAGTCACATTGTGACATGACAGAAAGTGAGACGGTCAGATCACCAGCATATTTGACGAAGTTGCTCTCATTAGAAAGAGAAAGGTCATGTAAGACGAGAGAGAAAAAAGACAAAGAGAGATAACAATACCCTGAGGAACACCAGCTCCAGCAGGCGAGGCGGAAGATTTACCCTAATATACAGTATGCTGCATTCCATTTGGGAAATGATAATGCAACCAATCAACTGCCCAGGACCCGTGTTTGCATGATCGAAACCTTATTCAACTAAAGTCATCTAGGCGCTGAGTCAACAGCAACGGCGAATGCTGAATGACCGAAAACTAAGTACAAATGTGACAAAGCACAAATCCAGTTGCAAAGTAGGAGGCGAGTCCCGGGTGGAAGAAGAGATTACCGAAAGGTATCAATTTTTCATTTGACAAAGAGCAAGATTATGAACTACACTTATCATTTGTTGAGATTTTGGAGATCATTTATCAATGTTTCGCATTTAGTTACGCCCAGACTGTCATTCTGAGTAGCTTTCAGTATGAGTTTGCAGAGAAGTCCACCTGTTTAATTTACCACATTCCATGTAGCACACGAAGGTAGAGACATAAAACTAAATGGAAGTTTAACGAGAGAAAATGTGAGGGAGAACAAATAATGACAAGGAAAAACATGAGTTGAATAGATATGTGAGATTACACAGAGTGAATGCACCAGTACCAGTACCAAAGATTTGCAGTCACATCTCCGGTATTTCTTCCAGCCAACTGTCAACAATTTTATGAACCAATATCACTTTTTCATTTGACCGACCCAAACGCATTTTAAACCTTAACATGTGCTGGTCAGCATTGTCCCTGGAGGAAGGCGATGGCTTAGTATGCCAGCACGTGTTCTAGCCATCTCAACCTATTCAGCTTCCCTACCTTGAAGGCTAACTAACCCTCCCCACCTAAACATTTATGCATAACCTCAACAGCACTCGCCATATTATACTGCTTTACTGATGAGATAGAACGCGGACACCTATAATCAAACACCGGTATTATTTTCATATTTTACAGCATCAGGGGTTACTTCTCATAGTCTAGGTGGACAATATCATCAGCAAACCGTAAGGTGATGAGAATATTCCCTGATAAGTCTTTGAAGTCAATTACAGACTATCATATTATTATATGTGTGATTGAATTGAACTGTTATAAGGATGACAGTTTAAGAATTCAGCCTTGTATTACATCCCACTCGGAAATGTGTTTTCTCGGATAATTCGCAAACAGTATTCAGTGAACAGAAAACATTCTGTAAGCTTGATGAAACTCGTAAACTGACGCACTACTTTTGCAGGCAATATACTATTTCCTCAATAAAGTGAGAATTGAATACTTCGGCTGCATAAAACGAGTAAGTAGTATTCTGGCAATACCAATGACTACAACAAGTCTAGGAGTTAAGCACTACAACTTTTACTTTACTGAATACACCAGCAGACTTTACATAAACACTTGACAGATCAAATTTATACAGGGAGTCAGTAAGATTTAGTAAACTAAAAGTGCTTTCGGTTTCCACAGGAGTTCTCCGTGCCGAATTTATTCCTTCAAGGGCCTACAAAGATTAAAACTTCAATTAAATAACACTGATGTGGAAGAAATTCCATTCTTCATTACTACACTTAATGAAAATGAATGCACTAAGAACTCAGTGCAACTCGATACACAATAGTATATATACAAATAAACTGAAAAATAATGCCCTCCTTACCTTCTAAACAACTTGTCTTTATTCCAGGATTATAGTTTTTCACGTATGAGCCTGAGTTATGTCTACGAAATCGCAATATTACATCAGTTAAATCTTCCCCGAAAACCAAGGCCACTTGAAACCAATAGCAACATAGCAACAAGCGTCATTGAGGGGATATGCAATAAAGTCGCTCCGATACTCCACGCACATCCTCTTATCTACTCACTACCAATTACCACTGAAATCGCTTGTCACTCATTCTGCCTCAGTTCTAGTAACGGTGACGTATGCGAGCCTCAGTCGTTTACACTCTTTCTCCCCGGCGTGTCGGACCGCAGCTAACAATTATCTCCGTGTGCATTTCATTCTCAGCAATAGCCTAGCCTCCCCGGCGTATACGACCCATCTGCTGTCCTTAACATCAATCAATTCATTCACGGATGTAGAAGACTCGAAACAACTTCAGAAGTAATCACGACGAAAATTTTAACAAAATTACGCAATAACAACAAGATACGAAAACAACAAGTAAACACAATGAATCCAAAATACACCAATTGCTATGACACACCACACGTATATACAAATTGTACATACAACCTCGCCGATCATGTCTTGATGGAATTCCTTTGAAGAATTGCAGGACTTACACCAGTACGCCTACAACCCTTCTCAGGTTGACGATTGTAATTTGTGGAATGTCCGGACACAAACAAGAATAACTAACAATTGCGATAATTGGAACTCACACAACTATTTAACACAAACATATGTACAATCACTACATCAAATGTTGTGGATTCCGGCATGAAAAGCTACCCTTGAAGAACTGTAGGACTTACAGCAGTAAGCCTACATTCCTTCTCAGGTTGGTGATCCAAGTGGAAGTCGTCCGGACACAAACAGAATTACCAACAGCTAGATGACAGATGATATCAATTCAGTATATACAATATGAACATATGTACAAAATCACACACCAAGCACATTGGACTGCTCATTGATGCGCTACCCTTTGAAGAACTGTAGGACTTACACCAGTACGCCTACAACCCTTCTCAGGTTGACGCTCTAGGTTGGAAAATCGTCGCAGAGTTCATTTGCTAACTTCCTTCTATGAGCTAAATCCTCAAATCTGAACGGCAACACGCCCACGTCATTGTATCGTAGAATATAGATGACGAACAAACACACTGCATATCTCATCAACCAAGTGTAGAAACAGAGTAATTTACACCAAAGATAATAGCATTCAATTAGTAACTTGAAACTAGAAATGCCTTTATTCGTGCAAGTCAATTTAACAATTACTCTCTCGTTTACACTTGGCTTATCCTCACTAAACTGACCATTGATATTCGTCCTTTCAAACGAACTGATACTAGCATAGTCATTGCACAAGATACTTGAGTTGATGGGCGTCTGTTTCATTGTGGATGACAGCACCAACGACGACTGATTGATACCAGTTGATGAACTTAGCAGTGGATCAAAAGCTGTTGTTGCTCGACTTTCAGAAATTTGTCTAACTGCAAGACCACCACCACTGCCGTCTTTTACTATCAGCTTCGCTTTAGGACTA